AGGTGGCAGGAGTTCACGCCAGCGTGGGGACCCCAGGCCTCCACGCTCAGCCCCGGCGTGGCAGGAACTGGCCCTCAGACCTGCTCTCTGTCCAGGACTGGACTTCTAATAAGACACTGTCCTTGCTCCGGGCCCTTCTCCGGTTTCCACGCAGAAGTGGAGATTTTGGGTGCCACCGGATTCCGAAGCTGCTGGCTGGTGGTGGTTTCTCAGGTTTTGCTCCCTGTCCCTTCTTGGCGCACAGTCCTGGGGTGGCCACCCGAAGCGTGGCTGTGCTGGAGCTGGGTGGCCGATCTGGCTGAGGCGGGGGCCTTGCTCTTCAGAGCCATGCTGGAATTGGGGCGCTGTGGGTGAGGGAGGGGACAGGAAGAGGGAGGAGAGGAGGCGGCGCTGGTGGCAAAGCCCACAATAGCACCAGCTGCAGACAGAGACACTTGCCCACTTTGGCCTTGCGCGCTGGAAAGCTAGGGAGGGTGGGGGAGTGGGGGTAGAAAGGAAGGCCTGGGCTTGGCAGCTGGCGCTGGCTCTGGGGGAGGGAGAGGTCAGCGCTCAATGTGTTTTGGTGGAACCCATGGGATTTCTGGCCCTCCTCTTCAGTCCTCTCTACCTTCCTGTGCCTGCCAGTCATGCTGGCCACTTTGCTGTTTCTTAATCCTGAAGGCTAAGCCCACGTCTACCTCAGGGCCTTTGCACCTGCTGTTCTTGCAGCCCAGGTTGTGTTTCTCCCAGGTATCTTTAAGGCCTTCCCTGCCTTTACCGCTGGTGGATTGTCGTCTCCCCTGGGAGGTCTTTCCTAATTAGTCTCTTCTAAAAACAGCCCTCTAGGTTTTTCCCCAGCCCCTTTCTGCCTTGTTTTCTTTCACAGCTCGGATCCCCCCAAGAGTGTCTCTGCTATGCCCATCCCTCACTGGGATGTCACCTTCACAGGTGTCTTTGCCACCACCCGAGCAGGGCAGGACCCACAGTGGCTGCCATATTATGTGATCCTGGATGAAGGGATTGTGGCCTGCACTCAGCCTAGATGAGGCCATCAGGGTCTAAGCAAGGCCTGGTCCCTTTCTCTGGCCTGGAAGAGCTGCCACAGGCCCCTGCTGTGCTGTGCCTCCGTGGTCCTTCACTGCCCTGCCGCACCTGTCAGGTATGGCACACCTGTGCCCGATCCGTGGGCTTCACGGTCTGCAGGGCTGTGGAGTGCTCTGGCCATAGGCCCTTGTGTTTCTAGGGCGTCAGAGTCAGACAACCTCCTGTGAGGTCCTTGGTGCTGGCTGCAAGGCAGGAGGTACTGGGAATGGAGTAATCTGGTGGCCCCTGGAGGAGGAGGGCGCTCAGCCTGCTCCAGGGGAGGGTTCAAGCTTGGGGAGGTGGGCCATGGGTGTGAGGTGTCCCTCTCCCTCCTCCCGACCTGCCTGTCTCCCCTCCCTCCGTGCATCCACCAGGGCCCGGTGCAGAGCCAGCCACCGGGGGTCAGGCCTCGCTGCGCAGAGTAGGGGAGGGGCTGGGGCCGGAGGTGGTGTGGCATCAGGCCTGGGAGGGTTTTCTCAGGCTGGTGAGCAAGGGCAGCTCGGTGACGGACTTGGGCCCGGCAGGTGCTAGGTGGTCACGCAGCCGGGACTCGGGGGTCAACCTGCTTCCTGGCCAGGCCCTGTCCCCTCCGAGAGAGACGGCGGCAGCAAGCCACACCTGGGCCCGGCTGGGGAGACAGCGCCGCAGGTGGAGGGGGAGCAGGCTCTAATCCCTCTGTTTACTTACTTGCCTTTTATCCTGGTGTTTGGGTTTTGTTCTGTTTCGTTGGTTTTGGAAGAGTAGAAGGCGGCACCAGCAGTGCGGAGTAATTGGAGGGTTGGCCTCACGGTTGTCTTCTCCGCCCGGCCTTAGAGCTGTGGTTTGTGGCTCTTCCTGCTGGGTCCTGGCCGGAGAGGCGCCCACGCCTTAGGACTCGGGCAGTCACTGAGGCAGCTTCCTGGGGACCCCCACCTGTCTGGGGAGACGGGTAGCCTGCAGCTGTACCCTGGCTCCCCCTGCACCCCACTTGCAGAGCAGAATATTCTGGAAAACGTGGCCTGTGAACCATGGCTGTACGACGGCCTCCGCTCCCCCGTGTTCCTCATCCCTGCTCCTGCCTGACTTCAGAGGAGAGAGCCAGGGACAGCGTGAGGGAAAGGAGAGGGAGAAGGCGGCCCAGGCCCACCGGGGGACATGGGCGGCGTCCTAGTGTTGTGCTGGGAGGGTGGAACCCCCCAACGGCCCCAAGTTCAGCTTATTTTGGAATGGGGGTGTCTGCGGCCTGGGGAAGGGACTTCAAAGGAGGCCCCACCCTGCCGCCTGCCACGCCTGTGCTGTGCTTAAGTCAGCAGTGGGGAAGGAGGCCTGGGCGGCGCCCGCCCCAGCCACCCTCAGCCGCTGCTCTCCGTGGCTCCTTTCACTCAGGGTATTTTTACTTTTCCCTTGTTCCTGCTACACGATCAAAGGGAGGAGGGAGGCTGAAAGAGGCAGCGTTTGCCCGGCTCTCTGGAGGCTCTGGGGAAAGGCAGCCCAGGGAGCACTGGGGCCTCCTGTGGCCAGGGGCTGGGACCCTCAGGGCTCTGGATTCTAATGCTGCGGGTCTTTGCCTTTCTGTGTGTGTGTGTGTGTGTGTGTGTGTCTGCGTGCATGCGCGTGCATGCCGCCAGCTGTGATCAGACTGGAAACAAGCCAGTACTGAGCCCCCAGTGAAGGCTCTGGGAGCCCCGATGCCGCCGTCCGGGAGCCAGTGGCCTGGCCGCAGTGTGGGCAGCGGGAGTGGGGGCAGAGACAGCCTGTGCCTCCTTCTGGGGCTCGGTGTCCCTCCTGAGCACCTGGGCCGACTCCCCACCTGTGAACTGGAGGTGCCACCTCACAGCTCCTGAGAAGAGCGCTAGAGCACAGTGGGGCCACAGCAGGCTGGGGTCATGGCTGCCACCCGCCGTGGGGCACTGGTGCGTCCAGTCTGGTGCCACTCCTGCCCACAGCAGGTGCTGTGTCTCTGCACCTGGCTTGCACGTGACAGTTGATGGGCAGTGTGGCCCCACTCTGGAGTTTGCAAAGCCAGCCTACCCATTTTACAGATTGAAAACTGAGGTCAAGGAGGGCTGCACTCCCTCCAGCACTGAGGCAGTGGCAGGACTGTGGTTGCTGATGGCTTCTCCATGGTCTTTTTCTGGATTGCTTCGTGGGGTAATCGTACCCCACACCCTCTCCCTCCCACAGCCACTGGGAAAAGAGTCTGATAAACTCATTCACACGTGTGGGCCCTTCCACCCCAGATTTTAAAACTCTTAGGGGTGAAATGTGCTGTGTTTTCCCTTTGTGCTGGGCTGGGTTTTGGGTTTTGTTTTTTTGTTTGTTTGTTTTGAGACAGGCTCTCACTATGTAGTTGAGAATGCTCTGGAACTCACTGTGTAGCCCATACTGGTATCAAACTCAGTGATCCTCTTGCCTCAGCCTCCCGAGTGCTGGGATTACAGGTGTGCACCACCATGCCTGACCTATGTGCTGGGCTGGGTTTTGCTGTGTGACTCTGGGAGAGTTGTGTACTATCTCTGGTCTCCTCAGTCATGGGCAGCACAGGGCCAAAGGGAATTAGCAGCTATATTCTCAGCCTCCCAGGAGCTAACACAGAGGGAACATTTTAATGAGGGAGACGGAAAGGAAATGAGGGTCTCCAAGGCCAAAGGAGAGCCCAGGAGCTGGAGTGGGACTCGGGTACTGGGTCCTCTTTCCTCTCCCTTTGGCCCAGGACTGGGGTGAGGCAGGGAAGGCTCTGGGCCCACCTGGTGCCTCCATAGAGGCTCCTCCTCTTTCAGCTGCCTGGGGAAACTGAGGCACGGACAGAGAAGTGGTCTGCTGACCTTCCTTGCAGGAGCCTGTGGGCAGGCGCCCCGCGTGGCCTCCAGGGAAGCCCTAACTCAGTTGGAGTCTTCTCCCCATGGCCTCCTGAGAGGAGGGGGGGCGGTGCCTGGGAAGGAACCCCAGGGGAAATTAGCCCAAATTAGCAGTGTGAGTGAGGAAGAGCGGGTGTTCTCTGCTCTACCCTTGCACATAAATATTTAATCACAACAACAATAATCATGACTGCGATCATAAGAAATGCGCAGTAGCTCCGGAGGTAACCTGAGCCCCAGCCCCGCCCTCAGGAGGAAGTGGAGGGGGAGCCGTGGAGAACTGAGAGGTGCAGAAAGTCGGGAGGAGGCCGGGCGGGGAGGGTGGATGGGGGCCCGGCCTGCCCTCCTGGTGCCCCTACAGCCCCAGGCTGACTGCTTTCAACGCAGCAGCCGGGGAGCTGGGTACCAGTGGGCGCTGTGTTGCTCACGGCCATTCAGGCAGTGCGTGCTCTTGGGCCTCAGTTTCCACCCCTGTACAATGGGGTCCCCCCCTTGCTGCTGCTCCCTGTGTGGTGCTGGAGGAAGCCCCGTGCTCCCCTCCGGCTCTGTTCCTGGGGACGACGCTCCCGGCCTCCGAGGGCAGCAGGCGCAGGCCCTGGGAAGTCTTCATATGTGACCTAATTTCTCCTCCTGCTCTCCCATTTCAACCAGAGTTGAGCCGCAGCCGGGAAGAAATCGAGTAGAGATTTATGGAGTCTGGCGATAACCTCGGCGTCTCCCTCTCTCAGCGCCTGATGAGAGATCAGAATAGCTAATGCCTTCTCTGGGCTTGTGTGTGATCTGCTCTCTCTCTCTCTCTCCCTCAGGTTGGTAGGAGGAGAGGATCCCAGCCGTTTTCTCCTTGATGCCAAACTACACCCAGCTGGGAGCGCTCTGCCCTTTCCACCGCTGCCCACGGGGACCGGGCCTGCAGGACGCGGGCACCAGGGCCCGGGCACTGCTGCAG